TCTGATTATCAGGAGCTCAGTCAGTGCCAAAGCAGAACTCCACCCAAGAGAAAGTCTGGTAGAAAATTGAAAAGGGGACCTTCATTTTTTCTGGAGTAAGAAAAGTCCACTTCCTCACTGGTGCTGATACAAAGAATATCTCTTCTTCCTTTCCTCCTCCACCTCCTCCTCCTCCTCCTCCTCCTCCTCCTCCTCCTCCTCCTCCTCCATCTCTGTCTTCTTTGTCTTCTGATAAAACAGACACAAATCACAGACAAGGAGCAAAAGTTCAAGAGGAGAAGCCCCCTGTGAAAATCCCTCTCCAGCACACCATGTAATTGCATGAAGTGAATAAAGATATAATCTTCTTTGTAATTTGGAATAGGCTACACCTGTTTTTATAGGAGGAGGAAAATGAAAAATTCATTTGTAATAGGATATCTGCCTTGAAGTTTGAGGCAGCACAACAAAGCCTGAATTATTTTAACAACAGAATTTGCCATCTGAATCTGGAACACCTAGTCAGATTCCGCACTCAATTTCAGCAGCACAAAAGAAAATGCAAAATATCTGGTGAAACCTGATGCAAACTTCCCCAGCAAACATTTTTAGCTCCTCAGCTAATAAAACATTAATATATTCAGTCTTTGATTTGGTTTTACATCTGGTTTACACATGAACATTCTTTTTATACACCCATGCAAAGGATATGCATCTGTCATTCTCCAAACTATAGTCATCCTTTTAAAAATGTTACAGGCTGATCTTATTGAAGCAAAGCCTGAAATATTAATAAATCCGCAGTTGTAAAATGAATGCTGTGGTCGTTAAATGAATGCCACCATTGTTATGTGAGCCAATGACTTGCTATGGGCACAGGTTTCTCAAAAACTAGGAATGCCTAGTTTTGGGCAAAACATTGTAAAATGCAACCGCTTGATCCCATGACTGAGTGCCTGAAGTTTGCCACATGACAAGGAGGGGGGGAGGGGAGCTGACTTGGGAACTTCAAACCTGGGTGGCAAATCCCCTTTTTAGGTTTGGAACGGTCGCTAAATAGCCTCTTGTAAATAGAAGACTATATGGTATAGATTTCCCCACAGGCACTTTAAAATGAGGAGACCATATTGTTTTTTGAGTTGTTTGTCCTAATGATATTATCTCAGTTATCTCCTTCTGGCACTTATATAGTAGCACATCCTGGTTTGCAAGGTGGAAGCGTATTTCTTTAATCACTTTATTAGCCACCTCAGCCATTGAAACAATCCTAGGTGGTATATAATGATTAAAAAAAAACCAATTTAAAGCAGGCATTAAGAGTTCATTAGCTTATCCCTGAGTGAATGAGTCAGTCTTTCAGGTGCCACAAATCTGCGTGTTTTAGTGGTAAGAAAGGCATCATTAAGATATAATTTTCCTGACGTTTTCAAGAAACCTTTCTTGATTTTCTTGGTCTATAATTATATCGTTTCATTATATAACTACCCTTTTCCTGAAGATTTCCAAATCTTTTGCCCAGAAAAGAAAGAGAATATACAGCAACACATACCTAAGAGGTTGTATAAACAAATGCAATTGAGTTGTGAAACTGAATATGTAGGGACTTGATTGTGTCACTTGCCCGAACAGAAATTATAATCTGATTTCCTTTTGTAGCTTGAATTCTGAGTATTGTGGGCTTGTCTCACCAGCTCTGAGATATAATAGGAACCACCAAGAGAATGGCACGTTGCTTTGTAAAGTGTGGAGCATGGAGAACAAAGCAGCAAATCTTGCGAGTTTCTTCTGGAAACACAATCTTCTGCGTCTCCAGTATTGTGAAAGTGAACTTTGTTTGGCTATGGGTGAACCATCCAACTTTCCCAAATAGTTTACAAAGGAAAGGAAATTTCAAAGGAGAGACTTGGTGGGTAAACATACCGGCAAACGATCGACGCAGAGGCACTAGGAGCTGCCGTGCCACTCCCAGGAGATGATCCTTGTGAGGTTTTTTGTTATCAGCTTCTCTGCCTACCATCCCTTTCCCCCTCTGGCTGGAATTTGTTTGTGACTGGGGACTTCCTCTGTCTTGCACTCAACTCCAGCACAGATCTGCAGAAGGGAGGAGGTACCGATGCTGGATCTGTTGAAGGGAAGAAAGTTCTCCAGGAGAGACTGAAAAGCACCCTCGTTTTGACCAGGCCACAATCAAGGGGGTGGGGGCGACCTCTTTGCTATTCAGACCAATTCAAGATGTCTTCTGCACCCACCTGGGCAGGTGAGAGCATCCATGGTCTTCCTAGGACCTGGGGAAATGATGCAGCTTCTTAGGGATCTCCTTGGAGACCCTCCTCAGAGCCAAAGCTCTTCCCATTGTTACCTGTGTTGCCCACAAAAGACCTCTTCAGCATTTTCAGCTGCTATTCCTCCTGCAATGAGATGTTCACCACAACCAGGTTCGGTTCTTGGGTTCCCCCATGCAACTCTGACAAGTTCAGTAGTGGAGCTTATTTTTTCCACCTCTACAACAGTAACAAACTCAAACACTTAGATACAAATTTACAGGCCTTGTAGGTCATCTAGTCCAAACCCCTCCCCACCCAAGCAAGAGACCCTACACCATTTCTGACAGGTGGCAGTCCAATCTCTTCTTGAAGGTCTCAAGTGATGGCGCTCCCAACTTCTGTTCCATGGGTTGATTGTTCTCACTGTCAGAAAATTCCTCCTTATTTCCAGGTTGAATCTCTCCTTGATCAGTTTCCATCCATTGTTCATTGTCTGGCCTTCAGGTGCTTTGGAGAATAGCTTGACCCCTTCCTCCTCTCTGTGGCAGCCCCTCAAATATTGGAAGACTGCTCTCCTGTCTCCCCTGATCCTTCTCTTCACTAGACTAACCATGCCCAGTTCCTGCAACCATTCACTGTATGTTTGAGCCTCCAGGCCTCTCATCATTCTGGTTGCTCTTCTCTGCCCTCTTTCTAGCTAGCATCATAATCCTCTTAGCAATGTGTTGAGATAGTATCCAGCTAGTTTCTAAACTCTGAAGTAAATGTAATTTTATCCATGAACTCCCATGTTAACAGCAGTCTTTTAATGAGTTTGCTTTTTTACTCATCCAGAGTTTTGCAGCAGCTCTCCGGTGTTGTCTGTACAACTTTTTCTTTTTTTTCCCAATCATTTTTACTAAGAGAATGGAGTTTTTGCATTTGTATGGTCATATCTGCATTTTGTAAATTGCAAGCCGCATTACAAATGTAGAAATTTAGTTAACATGCAAAATATAAATAACAAGTGGACAAGTTTTCACATCTTTAATTAATCTACTGAGAATTATGACCTATGTAGGGTAGGACACAGAACACAGAATAACAGGGTTGGAAGGGACCTTGGAGGTCTTCTAGTCCAGCCCCCTGCTCAAGCAGGAGACCCTCTGTCATTCCGGACAAATGGCTGCCCAGCCTCTTCTTCAAAGCCTCCAGTGATGGAGCACCCACAACTTCTGGAGGGAAGCCATTTCAGTGGTGAATTCTTCTCACTGTCAGGAAATTCCTCCTTAGTTCTAGGTTGCTTCTCTCCTTGATGAGTTTCCATCTGTTGCTTTTCATCTGAAACCTCCTTGAGTTTCACAGCTTTTGGACACAAGACCATCTGTTTCTACTTGAATTCTCTACAAGAAGGGATTTGAGGCAGAGAAAGAGGGAGGCAGAGCAGATGATACTGCAAAGTGGTGGAGAAAGCACTTTACCTTCAGCATCTAAAGACGAGAGGGAAAGAAGAATTGTACGGGGAAAATGCAGAAGGCAAAAAGAAGGAATAAGATAGAAACACTTGGTGGTTTGGCTGCCATAGCATGCCATACCCCACACTGTCCTATGGCACCATGGACTTGAATATTTTCTTTATCTTTTTGTTGGCTGTTGAGGGATTATCTGGATTATCTGGATCTCGCATAAGATGCAGAAATCTTTGTGGGACATGACAAAGGGGCTCCATCACTAGAGGTTTCCCAAAAGAGATGGGACAGCCCATTTGTCTGAGGTGGCCCTAGGGACTCCTGCTTGAGCAGGGGGGTGGACTAAGGGACCTCTAAGGTCCCTTCCAGCCCCGTTATTCCATGTTCTATGCTGAGAGGTTTCGAGTGAGAGCCGAAAGGGGCAGGCGGATCCTTAGACTGGAGCCTTGGGCAGCTCCTCAGCCATGGAGACAGCCACCCTAAAAGCAAAGCAAAGCAGTAGGATTCCCCCCCCCCTTTGGGCTGGAGGTATCAGGGGGTGTCTGTTTGTGCCCAGGTGCTTGCTTGGCTTGTGGTGTGGAGATTTTTTTTGTGAGTGCAGGCTTCCAGATAATTGATAGTCTGGTGGAGTCATCTCTTCTATTCATGCTTTCAGGTCATTTTTCAATCTCTATGGCTTCTCTGATAATTCTGTAGCTGGGGTTTTCTATTGTGGCTAGGGTTTTGGTGCCATTGAAGTCAGCACAAACAGATACCCCCTGATACTTCCAGCCCAAACACACCCCAGCCAGTCACCCAGATGAAACCTAGCTTCCTAATAAACGACAGCCAGCCATTCACCCAAAGCCAAGCCAGGCTGAAAGCCCCCAATACATGAAACACAATGTTACCAGCTAATCAAGACAAAAAAATGCTACAAAACAGACAGAAGATATTACAAACACCAATCAAACAGAACACAGCCAACTCCAAGACCAATAAACACAGATCAAGACTCCCAGCCAATCAGGATGAAGAAAAAACCATTCAAACAAAGCACGAGGCTAGCACCAAATTTAAAACAGAAACGGCTGCAAAAGCCTGACACACATAACGAAGACGAACCCAACACACCAGCCTGATGATGGCCGATGAGATTCTGCTGAAACACCGATATATATATATATATACTTCTAGTTCTTTTTGCCTTCCAATTCCCTCTCCCAAGGCTGAGGCTTCAAATGTCTAACAGGGATCAGGTCAGACTTTCTTCTCCCCAGATATTCTCCTAGGATCATGTGGGCATTCCTGAGGTCATTTGGGACACTGACTGATGGAGCTGTTGTTACTCCACCATCCAGGCTGCATTTGAATCCCGAAGGAGGTGGTTTATGTAGAAATTATCTGATCTCCCTGGAAATCTCTTTAATGGAGGGAGAATGAATGTTGATCTGTGGTCCCTTTAGAACTTGCAGCACAATAGTAGGACATGTGAGATATTTTCAGCTTCCCCGTTGCCACCTGTATACATTTGCTCAGCTATTGGGGCTTTATCATCTCTTTATATTAGAAGAAAAAAAATCTGCACTACAGTATCCAATTTATACCTTTAATAAAGGCATGGAGATTCTCAGTCATCCAGCAGGTCATGGTTGTCTCAAAAGTGCTTTTTCAAGAGTCAACAGTTCTGAAGAAGCTTCTTGAATGAGAAGCAAGATGTCCTCAAGGGAAAACAAAGAAAGTCCAGTTTCCTCTTAGACAGCATCTTTGGGTCTTCAAAGGCATACTTCTTATTCATTCTCAGTGACCAAATGATTATGTGCTATCCTGTTAGTGTAGACCAGAGGCCTCCAAACTGGGCAACTTTAAGACTTGTGGACTTCAACTTCCAGAATTCTGGGAGTTGAAGTCCACAAGTCTTAAAGTTGCCAAGTTTGGGGATCCCTAGTGTAGACCTTTAGCAATCATATAAGTAGGTTTTTCTCTAGAGTGCTTTGACCCAACCTGGTCCCAATGCTATGCTCCTCATCAAGGCAACTGGGTGTGTCTTCTTTTTCCTTTCATCTTCTCTAGAAAGCCTCTTATGGCTTCTCTAGAGGGCTGTTTCCAGAGTAGAATAACTTGAATCCGATCCATTCTCAAATATATGTTAGTTTAAAAGTATCTGGCAACTCAAAAAGTTAGAGAAGTTGAAAGTCACTGGTTATCCTGTGCCTAGAATAGAAATGTGAAAAAAGGGGAAAAAAACATCAGTTATTCTTGTTTGAGAAATCACAGACTATATCAAGTTTATAGAATTCTTTTAATAAACTTATATCAAGTTTATGGAATTCGTTTGCTTTTTTATTTTTGTCAAACACATCAAAAGTTTTTAAAACATAGTTTTAAAATTCCAGTCTCTCTACCTAGACTGAAATATATTTATTAAAAAAAAATCTAAGGAATCTTCGAATACTTTGAATTTTCCACCTTAATTTCCTCCTCTCAACCTTTCGTATAAAATCTAGCACTTTGTTTGTAAAATAAAATGTGTACTTGGGGCTTCCAAGGATATGTCATTATGATAAAAGAGAAAACATGTGCAAACACAGCATAATGGTTGGCACTGATATTGTTTGGAAATGGCAAAAGGGCAAAAGAAACATGTTTCTGAAGATATTCTTAGAACAGCTTCCAGTTTTCAAGAAGGCAACCATTAAAATTCAAGATATTGAGAGAAAAGAAATGTAGTCCATTTTAATGGAATATAATAAATATGCTATTTTTGATTACAAAGTACATCTTGTATATACCAAAGCAGCAGGCTCTGGAATTCTTTGGTTAATTAAGGCAATGTAATTATTTCCTTTTTTTCATATATACGCTGGAGAGACCAATAATACACCAGCTTTTCTATGCTGGCATTGTAAGAAAGATGAGGACTCTTTGATTCCCATGATTTGATTGTGCTCCTGTTTGGTTTCAAGTCTCTAGAATTCAAGGGTGGGGGAAGGGGGCAATCATTTGTCTGCAATGTAGTAAGGTCTCCTGACTTGGGCAAGGGGTTGGCCTAGATAGAAGACCTCCGCAGACCCTTCCACACCCCTAGGATTCTATGATTCTAAGACAGGGGTCCCCAAACTTTAAGACTTGTGGACTTTAACTCCCCAATTCTGTTCTAAGAGAACATTGGGGGGAAATGTAGTGGTTGAAGATAGAAATCTGATGCTGAAATACATTCCAGAAATACAGAATTTCCCTCTTTTAATGGAGAACTTTACCTAATCTTGGAATCAGTTAAGAGAACCATTTTGTGCCATTGGAAAGAAAACGGGGCTCCAGGTATTAAGGACTGGATTTAAGAGATAGGTTGTTTGTCAGTATTTTGAAATGTCTTCATAGAGTAGAAATGAGAAAATGGTGGCATCCGTTTCTCTACTAGAACATTTCTTAATTTCTTTGCTGTCTGGGGAATTCTGGGAGTTGAAGTTTACACCTCTTAACGTTGCTGAACCTGAGTGACACTGTTCTATACTCAGGTCTTAATAATACAACAACGGAATCAACTAGCTGTTACATGGATCTGGATTTTTTTTCTTTTCATTTTTTAAAAAAGTTTAGTTCATTTCTACCAGTATTATAACCGGTTTTGATCATGACCCTTTATAATTTTTTTATATGCAGCTGCTCAGATTTATGGATAAATTGTACTTTTATAGCTATGTAAATGAGGAAGATCCAAAACAGCTGCAATATTATTTGAGCTCTTTTGGTTCTGTGGGCGTGGCTTAGGTGGTGGGCATGGCTTGGTGGTCATATGACTGGGTGGACATGGCTTGGTGGTCATGTTATTGGCTGGATGTGGCCAACAATATCACTCACATCGAGGCACGCATCTCCTCGCCTGGCCTCTCCTGACTGTGGGGATGCTGCAACAGTTGTAAGTGTGAAAAATGGTTGTAAGTCACTTTTTTCAGTGCCATTGTAACTTTGAATGGTCACTCCACACAAGCAAAGTACCAGCAAAGGAGGGGAAAAACACTCCAGAGAAGTTCCAGAGACAGGAAGTCTAGTCCTGGCAAGATTGTAATAAGGGTTAATGAAAAGGCAGTTTCTGTAAGCAACACCAGAATGTTTCCTTCCTGCCTTCCTTACAGGATTAAGCCAGTAATTTCTTCTAACAACCGGTTCTCCAAACTGCTTAGAATGTTAACAACTAGTTCTAGCGAATAGGTGCAAACTGGTAGAATCCCACCCCTGTGCTTAACTCTTTATATTGACATTATTAACCACTTATTTAAAAATATATATCTAGGATTCTTTTAGTTTCCTTCACAATTTAGGTACAATTAAGGGACAGCTACAGTCATTAATCTGAGACAATCATCCCATTTTCACAAGAAAAAGTGTTGAAATGTATCAGGCACGATAATGAAAAAAAGATGGGAAGAACAATCATTAGAAATAACTGGACATCTCTTATATTTTGCTTGGCAGCTGTAAAACTAGCTCATGTTGTATGTTCCAATTCTTTATAAAACTGTAATTTATAAAACCTTTTTCCTCCTCCGAATTTTTTTTTATAACCAGCTGTCTCTCAAGGATTGTTTATCATTTTGGAATTTCTCTGGACTCCTTAAAAGAGACCACTTGCAGATTTACAGACGTTGTGAGAAATGGAACAACTATGTTTCTAAGAGCCGAGTCTGCAAATTTTTAGCAAATGAATGCAGAGTTCTCCACCCCACTCCTGTATGTTTGAACCATGGGAAAGTTGTTTAGTCCATGTTTCCATCAACCAAAGAGAATGCTCAAGTGTTTTCTCTCTGCCTTGTTCTGGCTTGTACTATGCAGGGATCTGCAGTATTTATGCATAATACTACCCTTTAGTACCAGAAGGCTGAAGTGTTTCCATCTCAAATTCAGCAAATTCAGTTATATTGGCTGATTCTGGGAAATGTGTAAAGTTGAATAAAAATATTGCCTCAGTCTATCATACCAATTTATCAACCATTTTATGCTTCATAGACTCTTTTCATTAAAACCCACCTAACCCCAGGCACTGTTCCAATATGGAATATTCCGAATAAGATATAATTCAGAAATGGAAGCTAAATAGCTTCTAGGGTTGCATTAAATTATGGTTTTCAACTGAATAAAGGTGATTCCTCCCCCCGCAATGCCTTTATTTCTCTTCGTTGTGTCTCTTCTCTGATGCCATTTCAGTGGTGTCTGCAATAATAGCAGTCTTGAAGAGGCATCCCCTCAGTTAACAGTGGCTGAGACCATCAGAAGAGAAGTACCAGAACTTTGGATCTCCCTGAGCACCCTAATCTGTAAAAGCAGGATTAAGAATTTGGTGTAATTTATGGAAGAGTTTATTAAGTTTGGTGACCTTATCTGAAGTTCTTTTCTTCCCCTCCCACTCCCAACTATTCTGGGTTGAAAGTTTTAAAAAGCTGCAGGAACCAGAGCTTTTGACTAGAGACGGTGATTAATTACCTATTTTCTTCTTTTCATATTGGGTAATCTTTCAACTCGTAGATAACTTTTCCATAGAAAAATGTGTTTTTTTAGTATTAAAGTACAAATGGTGCACATTAAGCTAAAACCTGAATTTAGGTGATTTTCTGTCTGTTTCAAGCATTTAATGGCTCTATTAGATAGATTGACACAATATGATGCAAAACTTGATACTCTCAAGTACTTAATAAATCCTTAGAGATTTCCTAATTTTCCTCCCTCCTAAAATCCTTCAATCGGAATTACATCAGACAAATTACATCAAAAATGGAAAGCAGATTTGACTTGATTAACAACAGAGATGGGAAACGGTCTTATACAGAGTCAGAGGCTATAAACACAGCTGCTTCTTATTTTACAGTCTGATTAATTAGTTTCAGAGGAAGAAAAGCATTCCCAATAATTAGCCTCCCCCCAAAAAAGTCTCCCTGATTTCTGTTCATGCCATCAGCACTGTGCACATATTACATTAGGTACAAATTAGTCTTTGTAACGTGTTTTGCGTTTATTGAAATAAATTCAGTTAATAGAAAAGGCAACTCTCATTCGAGCAGTTTACCTGCATGGGCAGAATAGCATAGAGGTACAATGCTTCCCTCTCACCCACTGCTGGGTGCTGCCTTAAAGTCCAGCAGCTCCTCCTGTCCTTTCTTAACGGTCTCTGTTAGGTGACAAAATAATGTGCCATTGATGCTAAGCCTGGAACTTTCAGTTTGCAACAGGGGGACAAGTGGAGATGGAAAGATTCTTGTTTTGTCTTTTATTTATTTATTAAAATGTATTTAAATTGCACACTAACTGAATCTCTCTGGTGGCTTACAATAAAATACCATGAATGTTACAATTTGAATAAAAATGTATGCAATCCAAATTGAATGCAAAATGATATTATTTATGCATTAAAGGGGTATAAGGAGAACTCCTTGAAGAATGACATAAGTTTGAGGGCTCACAGTTTTGGATGAAAACCAGGGCTATTGTATTTGGACTGCACTGCAGATTCTGGGTGCCCAACAGATGATAATGAAGAGGTATAGAAGCTGCTGATTGCTCATGGACCCTCTTCGTTTTTCTGAACCCCAGTCCGAAAGGCCAATTCCATGGAGCAGAAGATCCAGTTTGGTGCAGTGGTTAAGGTACCTGTCTGGAAGACAGGAGCCTGTGAGTTCTAGTCCTGCCTCGAGCTGCAGCTGGATGACCAGGGCTGGTCACTCTCTCTCGTAGGAAGGAAGCAATAGCCAAACTGCAGGGACTGTCCAGGCAGTTGCCAAGAAATAAAAACTGACCCAAAGGCCCCCAGAGAAGGAATATGAAGACAGCAATGGAAAACCACCTGCTGAATAGTCCTAATGCCCAACAGACTCAGTGACGTGGGCTTATTCTCCAAGTTCAGTTCCAACCTAGCCAGTACATAGCGGATATAAAAATTGACCTAGCAAAAAATAGAGAGATAGAGAGGGGTGTGTGTGTGAGAGAGAGAGAGAGTGGGGGGGAGAGGGAGAGGGAGAAGGAGAAGGAGAAGGAGAAGGAGAAGGAGGAAAAGAACTGGGCAGTGTTAGAAATGAGCGTAGCTGGAATGTCCCTTCACCAGGATCCCATCACAGGTGTCTAGTGAGAGAAATTGGTCAGAGGGGTTGTGTTGTTGTTCCTTCCAAAGGACAGATGCTTACAAAAGCCCCATCCCTGTATTGTTTAGCCTTCTTGCTGAAGCCTTAAAAGAACCTGGCTCCCGAGTGGCCTGTGCTGCCCATTTTTATGGGCCTCACTTCGAACTTAATTGAGAACTTGGGTCTCAATCCACATAGAAAAAGATTTAAGCCTTGTTTTTGCCAAGAGTGTTTGAGAGAGGAAGAGGGGGTGGAAATCTCCTTCTATTCAATTACTCCTTCATCTCCTTCAATAATTCACAGTGTGGGGAATTTGGATCATTCAATGATTTTTATACCACAGCAAGCAAGCAGGAGTTAAGCCTTTAGATTGACAAGTGGCTGGAAGTGGAGGAAATCAGTTGGAAGCAATTATGGGTTGGTAGAGAAGGTGATTCAGGGAGATTGATGGAGCAGAACTTCATGTTAAAAGAATTTGACTTATCCTGCAAGGAAAGTAATGGACGAAAGTTAGGCCAGAGTTTTAATCAATGGAGTCTGGAATGCAAGAGGGATGTTAAATGCTTCAAGATTATGAATAATGTGCAAAAAGCAAATGTATTGCATTTTCATGCAGATGTTTCTTAAAAAAAAACCTAAAACCTATAGTTGTCTTAAATAGTTGTTGCTTTTTATTTTTCTTTGCTGCGCATTATTTCATTTTTTATTTGTAACCTGCAAACAGTCTTGTAGAGTTGGGTAGCCTAGAAATTGAAAAAACCCACAATATGTTTAATAAAACTACCTACAGCTGAAAATTACATATTGGGATTCTATTAAAGAAACTCTGGTCTGGTTAAGGAATGGATAACATTAAGAAATACTAGATTGTTGACCTTAGAAGGACATGATTTGTTGTTGGGGTGGCATGCTTTTCTATGGTATAAGGGAACTAAAACACAGGGGTATTTTAGAAGACATTATATACGGGAGTCTCTGTGGTTAAACTGGGAGAAGATTAAAAGACAATGTTATTTGAAAATTCCAGTCTGGCTATCGACTATTGAAGCATTTGCTTATCCCATAATATATAAAAAGGAACAAACAGTTAGATATGGTGAAATATTGAATGAAAAGGATGAACTTAAATCTATTCAAAAATTAGAGGAACAAGGTATAAAGATGAATTGGTTTTCATATGCGGAAATACGTTCAAGGTATGATAAAGACTTTAAAACAGAAGATTTCTATGATAAATTGACTGATTTAGATAAGATTTTGACAGGTACTGATGAAAAGGTGATTAAAAAATTGTATGGATATTTATTAGAAATTAAACTAGAAGAAGAACAAGTTAAAGAAACTATGATTGCTTGGGGGAAGAATTTTGGATATGGGATCGATTTAGAGAAATGGCAAAAATTGTGGTCTCAAAATTATAAAATGACAATGTCAACAGCATATAAAGAAAATTTGTATAAGATGTTTTACAGGTGGCATTTCCCCCCGACAAGAATAGCAAGAATATTCAAGAATAAATCCGAAAAATGTTGGAAATGTCATCAGATACCTGGCTCATATTACCATATGTGGTGGACTTGTGCGGATGCTAAAAAATACTGGACTAAAATCCACACGTGGTTGGGAAAAATGACAAAAAAGCATATAGATTTGAAACCAGAGATATTTTTATTGGGAATTTTACCTGAAATATATAGTAAAGAATTGAAATACTTGATTGTAAATGTATTAACAGCAGCTAGGATTGTATTTGCTAAAAACTGGAAAAATGAGAAAATACCATCACAGGAGGAAATCATTAAGAAAATATTGGAATGTGCTGAAATGAGTAGATTGACATTTGAAATCAGAGAACAAGATGATAAACAATTTTATAAAATTTGGGATCTATTCTATCAATGGTTAAACAATAAAACATAGTAATGAAATATGTAGATTCTTAGAAAATAATAAATATATAAAGATGTGCTCTTTTCCTATTATATCTACAAAATGATTGTAGGATAGATTTGAGATGATAATATGAACTGTCATAAAACAAATTAAGTAAAATATGATGACTTCGTAAAACATGAATGAATAAAAGTATAGCCAAATGATTGATTAATAATGATATTAATGTATTTAATACTTGATTGAAAATATGAGAATATATATAATGTAATTGTAATTGAAGACTACGAAATGGAAGCACAAAACAATTTGTAAACCAACCGGCACACTGTATGTATATATATGGAGGATGGCTTGATGTTTTTATGTTTTGTTTGTTTATGTTTGTTTTAAAAACCAATAAAATTTTTTTAAAAAAGAAATTCTGGTCTCAACCACCAGCAGTGGGAACGAAGCCCAACTAAAGAGGCTTAACTGTGAGCAGGTAGAAAAGGGAGTTGTGATGGATGTGGACCAGGTCTGAGAGCCTAACCAAGGCATTGTAAAGCGGTACTAATACTTTAAGTGATCTTGGTTCTATGCCTCTGTTGATACAACCAAGGATTGTGTTAGCTTTTTTGGCTGCTGCCGCAGACTGCTGGCTCATGTTTAAGGGACCGTCCATTAGGACTCCAAGGTCCCTCTCACAGTTACTACTATTGAGTCAGGTTTTGGCTAATCTGTACTTCTACCATTGGTTTTTCTTCCCTAAGTGTAGAACTTTACTTTTCTCTACATCGAATTTCATTTTGTTTACAAATCCTTGTAAAATTCATCTGGTTAAAGAGCTCTGGGTGAAACAGGAGCTTGGAAGAGCCAAAACTAGGGTCAATTCTCTCCCTACCCAGTTTCTCCACAGTTCAATTTTCACTTCCCTAGAGTGCCGCAGGGAACATTGTGACTTGCACTATTCTGATATTGTGACTTTGGGCAGTGCACACAATCAAAGCAAAAACAAATCAAAGCAATCAAAAACAAGAAACAGAATAATAAACAATACAATTAAATCAGTGAAATAAAAATAAAAATGGCAAACTTCAGAATGGGAGAGTGCATTCCAAGGTTACATACAACATAAGCATTTAGCAGGCTACCACTTGATAAATTCCTAGTTCTGACACATTCTTGAAAGGGACATATTTTTGACTCTCCTCTCTCAACTTTCATAAAGTAACTAAAAATGCAATGTTTGTGATCAAAAGCAGACAAGTACAAAAGCAATGTCATTTTCGGTTGTGATTTATGAGAATATTAAAATTTGTAGCAATATTATGAATAGGCACTCTATGGAACACATTATTATTATGGTTGTAATGTTTAACAATGAGAGATTATCTGATTACGAATAGAAACTAAATAGTTCTTTTTTAAACTGGAGATCCAATTTTAGGAGCCTACTAATTGCCAGAAATATTTATGAACCTTAGCTCATGGATAACCTTGTTGTTTTATTTTTTTGGAAAAGGAGGATCAAAAAGGTTAATTTTTAATAGGCCAGATTAGAAAAATTGTACTGATTTCCATTAACTCTTAAAAAGAGGGAATAGGATGGCAACTAGCCACAAGGTAGAAGGCAGAAAAGCCCCCTGGCAAGTCAGTCTGGCCTAGGGCTGCAAGAAAGCTGTGAGTTCTAGTGCTGCCTTTGGCACGAAGCCAGTTGATCTTGGGCCAGGGAGAAAGAGAGAAAGAAAAAGAGAGTGTGGGGTGTGGGGGGAGAGATAGAGATGGCCATTGGCAAGGCTGGGTGTTTTGTTTTTTCTACTTTTCCATGTCACCGTCAATCAATCAATCAATTAATTAATCAATCAGAACAGAGCTGGAAGGGACCTTAGAGGTCTTCTAGTCTTCAAGCAGGAAGCCCTATCCCATTTCAGACAAATGGCTGTTCAGTTTCTTCTTGAAAACCTCCAGTGATGGAGCACCCACAAATTCTGGTGACCAGCTGTTCCACTGCTTAATTGTTCTCACTGTCAGGAAATTCCTCTTTAGTTTCAGGCTGCTTCTCTCCTTGGTTAGTTTCCACCCGTTGTTTCCTGACCTGCCTTCTGATACTTTGGAGAATAGGTTGACCCCCTCATCTTTGGGTAGCCCTTCAAGGCAGCCCTTGGAAGACTGCTCTCCTGTCTCCCCTAGCCCTTCTTTTCATTAAACTAGACATACCCAATTCCTGCAACCGTTCTTCGTATGGTTTAGACTCTAGTCCCCTAATCCTCTTCGTTGCTATTCTCTGCACTCTTTCAAGAGTTTTCGTATTGTGGTGAGCAAAACTGAAAATTGTTTTTTTTTTTTTTTTGTATCGTGGTGAGCAAAACTGGAGGCAGGATTCCAGGTGGGGCCTTACTTATAAAGCAGTAGCGATTTTGATTCTATGCATCTGTTTATACAACCAAGGATTGTATTAGCTTTTTTTTGGCTGCTCCCACACACTGCTGGGTCATGTTTAAGGGATTGTCCACTAGAACTCTAAGGTCCCGCTTGCAGTTACCGTTTTTGAGCCAGGTTTTGCCTGATCTGTGCTTATACCTTCGTTTTTTCCTGTCTAGGTATAAAAACCTTGCTTTTCTTCACATTAAATTTCATGTCTTTGGATAGGCCCCATTGTTCAAGTCTGTCTAAGATCTTTTTGGACCCTCAGCTTGTCTTCTGGCGTGTTGGCTATTCCTTCAAGCTTAGTGTCATCTGCAAATTTGATGAGTCCGCCTTCTATTCCCTCACCTAAGTCATTTACGAAGATATTGAAGAGCCCTGGGCCTAAGATGGAATCTTGTGGTACCCCACTGCTTACTTCCCTTTGACACCAGCGGAGTCTATGAACTCTTTCCTTCTCATTCCCTTCCATCCTCAGTTCAGAGTGATTTGTCTCCCCTCCCCAATTCAGTTGGCCTGCCAGTTACAATTAGCAGGACAAGGTCAGCCTGTCAGAGAGGAGGTAGCTCTGAGAGAGCAGAAGAGTGATGAAGCTTTATTTTCTTGTCAGTTGAGCTCTTGCTACGTCAGTCTTCATACCATCAGGTTTTCATTTTATCCTGTTCAAGAAATACAGCGTAGCTTAAGGAAGAATGTGGGGGGAAGGAGACCTGGAGGAATCAGATCAAAGGAAAGGAAACTTGAGGGAGGCTGACAAACTCCAAGGTATGATGGACTTTTCACCAAATGTCAGCATGGGCTGATTAAACAAACTGCAGGGGAAGTTGATAGGCCTTTCAGTACCTAGCAAAAATCAACATCAAATTTGCAGGAGTTCTTAAATATTTTCAAGAGGCAAACCAATGTCTAGGATTGTGTTTAGATGGAATTTTGCACAGTGCCTTCGAGTTTGCTAGACCTTGCTTTGCAAAAGTGTGAGGCTTAGGTTTTAATTTGTCATTCTTTTGCCAACATTTTAAAGGCTTCTGGATATGGCATCTGAAAACCCGAGCTGTCTTTAAAAGGCAACAGAAATTAGCTATCTTTGCACATATTGTCTGATTCATAAGTCTTCACTAAATGAATTCCCCTTATCACTTCTTGATTACTTTTTTCATCAAGACATAATTGGATATGCAGTTACTAAACCTTTCTGGATGGTTTAGCTCATTCCCTTTAGTTAATTTATATATTGCTACAAAATGTTTTTTTAATTTTTTTTAACTTATGATTCCAATTATCAATGTCCTGAATATTACCAAGATAGCATAAAGAAATAAAAAAACATAAAAAGAGGGCAAGTTTTCCAAAGCTGCGAGGGAAAATTCCCTGATTTTAATAGTAGTGAATAGAAACACCTATTGAGTGGTTTGGTTTTCCATGTTCTGTATCTTCTCTCATTTTGCTATAAACTGTTGCCAAGCCCATAACAAAAGTTGAGTTTATTGAATAAAAGGTTACATTATCCCAACATCAAAGACAGTAATACATTAAACATGGCCAATCTGAGCCAGGCAATCTCCAAATTGTGGCACCAGCGTTGCCGTTCAATGGATCTGGAGAGCAGATGTATTCAGAACTATGTTTTATAGTGGTTAACCATTAGGTACATGAAAGGCACAAATATGAATTGCCCCATCTGATAACAAATGACAGCGGAGTGATCAAAGTCGTAACTGATGGGAAATCCAGCGAGGCTGTCAGAAGGAAACTTGTCTTGAGGCTATGATCTCCCGCTATTTGAAAGACACCCTACAAGCTTTCCTTGATGGCAATCTTAGCATATGCACCCTCTCACTATGCTAATTATCATGATGTCACCCATCCACTGCCAATTAACAAAAGAAAGAAAAAAGTCAAAACATGCTCACTAATTCTACTCGCTGATAATAAGTTCTGATTTGTACAGTCTTCTGTAACTGAGCTGAACATTAAGTACAGTATCCACCGAAGACGAGGCTCAGACTGAAGCAGGTGTCTTTAGAAAGGTTTGGGTCTGTCTTAAACAAATTGGGTGTCAAAGTTGTAGAACCATTTCTAAAAGAAACACACAGTTGGGTGCACAATTAAAATCAGTATGTCTCTTCTGGCAAGTTGGGGAGAAGAGAAAAGAGGGGGCGGTATTC